TACTTCTCCTTCAGTTTTGCCGCCTTGTTGATGTAAGGCTGCTTCTCATTGTCACTCAAGTTATTCCACATCTCACCCAGCTTTTTGGCCACATCACCAATCGAGATGCCGGGGTTCGTGGATTTGATCTTGGGGCGAAATTCGGAACAAAACAAGAAGAATCCAGACCTGAGGAGTAAAAAATGGGAGAGATTAGATTAGGACCAATCCAAATGCAGAGTTTAGAAAGCCAGACGCCAATGATGTTGAAGCCATTGTGACTTCTTTGAAGAAATGTTACTGGCAATCCCATACATACAGTTAGAGTTACAGGTTCCAGAGCGTGTAAAGGGGCTTCTTTTCGCAATCTTTGCCATTATGGGCAAGAGCTAGAGATAGAGAGCACACAGAAGGATTCGAACACTGAAAACAAGGTTCAAAGAGCTCCACCACATACACCTCTGCCTTACCTCTGGCCTTCAATGGCCCTGCATTTTAAAGCCCAAAGGACCGAAAGTTTGGCAGAAGAATCCTGCGATTTAAAATAGGTAAAGTACCTGTCTTTCAAAAAAGACAAAAACATGACGCGCAGCAGAGAAAGGCTTGCATCTGTTACCCCCAATCCGTCAGTCACTTACGGTGGTCGTTTGGGGGCATTGGGGTCCTTCTTCTTCTTGCCTCCCTTAGCTGGTCCATAATCCTTCATTTCACGATCATAACGTACTTTGTCCGCCTTTGCCATTTCATCAAATTTAGATTTCTCTTTCCCAGACATAGTCTGCAAAGAACAGGTATGTTAGCTTCCTCAATGCAGTGAGCCTGTACCTGTTCACTTGTCATGTAGTTGGATTAAAGGGGCAGCTAATGTAACCACATGCAAATACAGGGGATCAAATAAAAGCACACAGAGGCAGACACACAAAATTCTGAAGCCAAGAGACGGGCCTGACTTGGCTGCTAGGCAGGTAAGTATGCACACCAAAGTGTGAAACCTAAGACCAGTTAAAAGGCTATAAAAGATAAATACCTTCCACCTCTCTGAGCACTTCTTGGAAAATTCAGCAAAATTGACAGGGACCTCTGGGTTTTTCTTCTTATGTTCCTCTCTGCATGTCTGCACAAAGAAGGCATATGCAGACATCTTGCCCTTTGGTTTCTTAGGGTCACCTTTAGCCATCCTGACTGTGATGAAGCAGAGACAAAGGAAAACAATCAGTAAGAAACACGACCCCAATCTGGACCAAAACGCAGACCCAAATGAGAAAGTGTGCTGTGAGGAACCTGGACCGCGGGAGGGAAAAGCTGTCTCGCCATCGCTTGTCATTTAACTTTTGACCAGCATGAAGTGCGCTGTTTGGCGAGTTACTTCTCAGACAGCGATCAAGTTCTCCAAATAGAACCGATGTAAGATTCAAGCGGGGTGTTCGGTGCTACGTTCCGATTCAATGCTAGTACATTTTGGGAAATACGACCACAAAGCGCTAAGGGAGAGGGAACACATTTGTAGAGAAAAGGTGGGGTGGGTGGGGGGCGCTACATGCTGAAGGCTTGCTGGTCATCCCTTTAAGGCCAAGGTACAAAACAAACAAAAGAATCATTGCTGCCCAAGATCAAAGCAGAATTGTAAAAGGGGGACAATTTTAAATCCCAGTGTTATGGATGGATCTTGCATTGTGAAAATGGCTTTAACGATGAGGGCTATGCGCAAAATGAGCAGGTCTCCCATAGTACTACGAGTTCAAATCCGTCACTTGTCACTATGTAAAGAGGGAGGGGAAGCCAAAAGGCTGATCTCACTCATCTGTACGGCAGAAAGCATGTCCTACCAACGATACTTTCTCCAAAGTTTACAAATAAAAATGCAGCAGTGGCATGTCATCGTCCCTGTCCCACCCCCCCAGCTTCCCGCCATCTTTTCCTTCTCCACACCCAAGGTCATCCTGCAAAACTACAGTGCTCCCCGGCACAGCGACCACCCCGGGGGCTACGCCGGGGTCCTCTGGGGCGGCCCCAGTGGTGCGGGACTAGACATAGGGAAACCCAGGCGGGCAGCGGGCGGAGCAGCTCGGCCCCAGCACCGGGTCACCCCGGAACTCATAATTCACCTTCCATTTTGTCAAAAGCTTCCCGATGAAAGAAAGTGCCCCTGAAATCCGCCGCTGCCACCCCCGGGGGGCGCGCCAGGCCGGGA